TTGACCAGGAGGGGATTGCTGAGATGATGCTGGATGAAAGCTCTATTGCTCAAGTTGCACGTAAGTTTAAGCATTTGCTCCGAATTCCACAATTCATTAAATTAATAATTTGAACATTTTCTTAATTAGTTTTTTTTTTTTTTTATAACACTTGATCTCTGCAAGGACCTGGTACATCACTGAGACTTCCTGGAACATGTCATGGTGGAGGTCCCACACCAGCTGTCAGGTAGGTTTTTCAAGACAACGAAAACAAAAAACCAAACTGATGAAGCTTTCGTGATTATTCTCTAATCAGATATATTTTATTTCCTGAAATCTAGGCCCATGACACAATCAGGACGCCCAATAACAGGATTTGTGAGACCCAGCACACAGTCCGGGCGCCCTGGGACAATGGAGCAGGCCATCAAAACCCCACGTACTGCAAGCACAGCTCGTCCTGTCACCGCTTCTTCTGGTAGATTCATTCGTCTGGGGACAGTGAGTATTCCTACTAAAGGCCACGTTTGACACATGCCTGTTTCTATTGCATTTTCTCAAGTTAATTTATGCAGCAGACAATATATTAATGTAAGACTGATAGCAACAGTCATTTTATTATTTATTATGTTACACTGAAAGCCTGAAATTCTTAGCATGACCTATTTCTTTTATTGTTTTTCTAGGCTTCAATGCTAACAAATCCCGAAGGACCATTTATAAACTTGTCTAGACTAAATCTGGCCAAGTATTCCCAAAAACCCAATTTATCCAGGGTAAGACTCAAACTGTGACTTCCAGACATTTATCAGTTGTTTTCTATTGTGTTTTTCCTGCATGTGAAGCAATCTTCTTTCTCCACAGACATTATTTGAGTACATCTTCCATCATGAAAATGATGTGAAAAATGTAAGCGATACACAAATCTGCAGTGTAAAGAAAACTACCACACATTAGATGACAGGACTGTATGTAAAGAAATATTATATTCATTGTACAGGCTTTGGATTTAGCTGCTCAAGCTACTGAACATGCACAGTTCAAAGACTGGTGGTGGAAAGTTCAGCTGGGAAAATGCTACTACAGGCAAGTAACACACCAACCTTCATATTATTCAACTGCAATGTTTGATTAAATTAACATTTATGTATATGAAATTATGTAATGTCTGTTTCTCTCCTCTTAGGCTTGGTTTATATAGAGAAGCAGAAAAACAGTTTCGATCAGCTCTCAACCACCAAGAGATGGTAGATACGTATCTCTATCTCGCAAAGGTAGTGATTATTGCCAAGGGTTTGTACATTTTAAGGTTCTCTCTCTAAAGCAATGTTTTTCTTGAAATCACTATTCTTGTTTTCATTTTCCTTTAGGTTTATCAGCGTATGGATCAGCCAATAACGGCTCTCAGTCTTTTCAAGCAAGGCCTGGACCACTTCCCTGGAGAGGTTACCCTTCTAACAGGAATAGCTCGTATCCATGAGGTACAGTATGCCATCATCATCTCGAATATAGTCAGTTTTTTATTTAATTGCATTGTCGAATATCACATAACCACTCCTTATCAGGCACTTTAACACAATTCAGACAAGTTCTAGCTGCCTGTGGTTCATTTCAAAAGCTCTTTTCCAGTAGACAGAGTGTCTCTTAGAAGTGTTTTCGGGTTTCAGAGTGGCTCTTTAGCTTGTTTGGCACTCTCAGCTGGATCCAAAAGATGTCGTTTCTTCACAGTTATTTTCCTTTTAGATGGTTTTGTGTGGTTTTCCTTTCAGAAGAAATTGTTCAGTTTTACATCATCACAAATTTTATCCTCCTCAGTCAGGGACGCTGATGTGTTCTGGTATATTAAAATTAAATTAAATTTGTTGTTTTTTGTGCCGTTAAGTCAAGTGGAATGTTTTTATGATGTATCCCAAAGTGCTTAACAGCTAAAAGAATAAATGTCATAAAATAATAAGACAATAAAACTGCTTAAATAAAGAAAACAAAATGAAAAAACAAAAACAGTAAAAGCACAATTCAAAGTAATCAGGACTTAGTCTGGTGTAATAACCAAAGACCGTTTTCAAAAATGTCTAATGCCCCTGATGTAAATAGGCAGTTTGCTCCACAATGTAGGAGAAGGTACATTTAAGTTTCTGATTTCCTCTTTGTTTTAATCTGGACCACAGGGCAGTCAAAAGCCTCTGCTCAGCAGACCTGCTCAATGAGAGAGCTAAGGAGGTGCCAACCCCTGCAATCACTTAAAATCAAAGAAAAAAAAAATTAAAACTTACTGACAACCAATAAAGGAAGCTAATATGAGTGATGTGTGGTCTTGCTTACACTTGCCAGTTAAGAGCTGGCCAGCTTTAGTTGGCCAAGCAGTGACAGGCTGACACCTGAAAGCAGACTGTTAATGGTCAAGTCTGGACGAAATTAAGGAATGAGTAACATTTTCAAAGTCACTGAAGTGGAGAAATGGCTTCACCTTTGCAAGCAGTCATAGTTAAAGGAAGCCAGCTTTAACAACAGCTTCTTTGCAATATTAACCTTAGTACTTGAATTGCTGAGGTTAAAGACAAAAGGGCTTTCAGTTACACTAATAGTGTTTGGTTGACACAAAATCTTAACGACTTGCCTCCAAGCTATTTGGGAACCACTGGACTAATGTAAACTTTCCACCATAGCTGCATGGAGTATAACCTCAACAGTTGCATGAATCATTAAAGATATCCATCCATCCGTCCATTCATTAATTGTCTCTAAAATGGTATTTTGACAGGAGATGAACAACATTTCATCAGCGACAGAGTACTATAAAGACGTCCTGAAGCAGGACAACACTCACGTGGAGGCCATAGCCTGCATAGGCAGCAATCACTTCTATACAGATCAGCCTGAGATTGCTCTGCGCTTCTATAGGTCAGACAAACTTTCTGTACAATTTGTGTAATGTGTTGTTACAATTTATCTGATGAGATTTTATTTACCATCTGTGATTTAATATGTTTCACCCATTGCTAGACGGCTGCTCCAGATGGGAGTGTATAATTGCCAACTGTACAACAACCTGGGCCTGTGCTGTTTCTACGCCCAGCAGTACGATATGACTCTGTCCTCGTTTGAGAGGGCTCTGGCCCTGGTGGCCAATGATGAAGAGCAGGCTGATGTCTGGTACAACATAGGACACGTGGCTGTTGTGAGTTAACAGAAAATTACTTAATATGTTTCACTTCCATATATGGTTCACAGTTAACATAATTTGACACTTAGTTAATTGAAATGACAACGTTACATCGTATAATTTAGAATATGCTCTGTGTTTACAGGGAATAGGGGACTTGACTCTGGCCTATCAGTGCTTTAAACTGACTTTGGCATTTAATAATGACCATGCTGAAGCTTATAACAACCTGGCTGTGCTGGAGCTGCGAAAAGGTCACATTGAACAGGTAAAGACATAGTTTTGAATCATTGTCTTTGTTAAGCTGCTAAAATATGAGTAATGAAATCATAATGGTGATCCTTTCGACCTCTAATGTGATATAACACAGCCCATTATAAGAAAATCACTAAAATGTAGTTATTAGCGTCATATAAACTGTAATCCAGCTCATATTATCAAAAGATATCTCTCAAATTATACTTGCGTAATATAAATCCAATATTCAGTAAGCCCCTGTTACTCTAACAAAGAGCTAGGCAATAAAGCAATTTAGCAATAATAGCTTGATATGAGACAAAGCGTCATGAGATATATGGGATTTTATTTTTCCAGTAGCAGGAGGAGCATGAGCAATCCACCTGCTTAACACTTCTGCTGCCAACATGATTTAAAAGGTTAAATTTTCAGGGTTTTCCAGCTTTTTTCATAGTGATAATGATGATGGCAAAGTGATGTAAGGATCGCTCCAATTAAAGAAAATAAAACTTTAAATCTGTAAACACTGCATTTTCATATACATTTTCATGACAGGTGTTAATTGTTTCCCTGCCTTTAATCCAGTCTAAAGGCTTCCTTCAGACTGCTGCATCACTGGCCCCCCATATGTACGAGCCACACTTCAATCTCTCCATTCTCTCTGAAAAGGTAATTTATCGCTATCAAGGTCCAACCAAATCATGCAAGTGCGATTAAAAGTGACAAAGTGTGATCTTTACATCTTCTTGTCTGTGTCCAGCTTGGGGACCTTCAGAGCAGCTACAGTGCAGCCCAAAAATCTGAGGACGCTTTCCCAGAACACGTCGACACTCAGCAGCTTCTCAAGCAACTTCGACAGCACTTTGCAGTGCTGTGAGGGACCACAGCACTGCAAACGACCGGGTTTTCTTTTAACCCAGTCTTTAAAAAAGTCATAATTTGGTAGGTTAGTCTTGGAAATGGACAAAGTGGGATTCGTTTTGGCTTGTGTTTATTTATTAACTGCCAGTTTATTAGATACATCTACAATTGAAGCTCTTTAGCAAAATGAGTGGTGACCCTTTGAAGTGTTAATTGTTAACTGTAATTCTACACTTCAGTGTTGAAAAGTGATGTGATCGTCCTTATTTGATTCCAGCTTGAGCTGTTGTAGACTTATTGTTGTGTACAGAATAAGCTCATTGGTTGTTTCTTTGATTTTTTCACTGTTCTCTGTAAAACTCTATTTCAGTAGAGTTTCAAAAGGCTGTAGTTGATGAAACGCTAGGTCTAAAATGTCTAGGTCAAGTGTTTCAGTCATAGCCCATTAAATGGTAAATGTTTGGGCTCTAACTAACATGACCTTTAGAGGGCATGTAAAGGTTTTCCTGAAACACTGGCATGTTAGTGTACAAATCTGTACAGTGGTAAAATATGTGTACATAGTAAAGGTAAAGGTTTTATTTGTAACAGTTACAGAATTTGCATACATTTTGTAGATGCCTTTATAACTCAGATGTATTTTTCTTATTTTAATCTTCTTGGACATTTTGTAGTCTCTTGCAAAAGACATGACAATAAAGAAAAAAAAAAGTTCAGAAGACACGTCCATGCCTTAAAGCCAGACTTGACTCTCTGTTTAAACATTTAAGCTAGAGCTAAAAGGTCTTGGTGTCCTCTCACAAATCCATTTCAGGTTCCAGTTGCATGGAGCATCGTTCCATGAATGAAAGGGGTTTTCTCTGGGATACATAGCAGCACAGTCTTCATTGTTTTGGTTGTTAGGCTCTCCAATATCCCAGTACCTGAAACAAGAGATGGGTAACTTTGCTTAGTGTTTTTTATGTGTGCTCTGACAGAGATATATGGGAAATTACCATATACTTAAATTAATAAACTGACATATACTTAAATTACGTTGTCACAAGTGGATAATGGTTACAGGGCATTCAGAAAGAATTTATATCGCTTGTCTTGTTCCACATTTTGTCACATTACATTACTTTATTCCAAATTGGATTTGATTCATTTTTCACTTCAAAGTTTTACACAACAGCCTATAATTACAAAGTCAGAAAGATTTGCTTGAAATTCTTGCAAACGCATTAAACGCAAAAAACAAAAATACAACATGTACATAAGTATTCGGAGCCCTTGCTCAGTACTCAATACTTTGTTGAAGCACCTTTTGCCACCTTTATGGTTGTTGTCCTGTTGGAAGATGGACCCTCACCCCAGTCCCAGGTCCATAGTGCTCTGGAGCAAGTTATCATCAACTCGACCATGAGTAGTCTTGAGTAGTTCCTGCTGCTGAAAAACATCCCCACAGCATGATGCTGCTACCACCATGCTTCACTGTAGGAATAGAATTAGCTAGGGGCTGATCCTTGGCATTCAGCCCAAAGAGTTCAATCTTTGTTTCATCAGTCCAGAGCATTTTGCACATGACCTGAACAACTTTGAGAGTCGTTCTATTAGAGTGACCATCGAGTTCTCGCTGACTAAGGCACTTACACCCTGATTGCTCAGACTGGCTGGGCGTCCAGCTCCAGGAAAATTCCCGGTGATTTCAAACTTCTTACATCTACTGATGATGGAGCCATTATCGGGACTTTCAGGGGTGCAGAAATGTTTCTGTACCCTTTCTCAGATCTGTGCATTGATACAATCCTTACCACAATGAACTCCAATCAAAAACTAATAGAAACCTCTGACAAGTGATCAGTGGAAACACGATGCATCTGAGCTCAATTTTGAGTGCTATGGCAAAGGCTGTGAGTACTTATGTAAATGTTGATTTGAAAAAAAAAATAGCAAGAAAACTTCTTTCACTTTGTCATTATGGATTAAGATTTTTAGGAGAATTTATACCCCTCTTCCACCCTTGTCCCATCCAACCATGTCCAACTTCCTTCCACATCTGCATCTCTCAGTCCAATCCAGAATCCACTGTGGGCAAGCGATCTCGAGGGGTCTCGAGACATTTTTACAATTTCAGCAAGGGCCATCTGACAATATAGGAAATACACATGTACGTGAAAACACACACAAACATTCATATATGCTAGTGCTGTTCATGAGAAGTGGAACTTGTAAGTTTGTCAGTAAGTTTCATTGTGTTGTTTAAATGTTGAGTCTTACATGTTCCTCTCTGCTGTTGATCACCAATAAGTCGCTTCCTTGCCTCTTGCAGAAATGTCTGGCATCCATCCATGATCTCCGTGAGAGTTCCTCAGATAAAGCGAAGAAGTAACACATGGAATTAATGACAGTCCAGCCTGGCAAACACTGTCTGCAGCCCTCTTCTGTTGACAAAAACCAAAAAAAAAAGGAATGACATAACAATTATAGAGCATTTATTAACATGATAAATAAAGAAAAAGCCTCTCACTGAGCATTGGCATGTGGGATTCCAACATCGCTATTTCCGTTTCAGTTCTGTCTATTAGTTTTTCGGTATCTTTTTTCCTTCTGTTCAGATGGTCAAGCTCCCACTTGGTAATTTGCTGCGACTTGATCTCTTTCGCCACCTCCTGTTTGGCTTCAGTCTTGCTTTGGAGTGCAGCGTTGTAAGTAGCCTGCAATTTGGCAATCTCAGTGCTGATGTCTGTTACTAAATGGTTCCCATAAGTAAGTCTGTAGTCTGAAAGTAGAGAAAAGGAAGACTTTAAAAACTGTACAATTTTTACGGTGTTGGTACAGCTGAAGAAAGAACTCTAACGGAAATAACAAAAGAGCAGTAGCAGACAAACCTCACTTAAAAATATTTATTTATTATCTAGAACACAGGCAGTTTTTAGGTCACAGCTAAGACAGTTTACACATTTTCCTTTTTTAAAATTGTCCCATAATTAAATAACATAGTGAATAGCTCTTTAGTATAGTTGTTAATACATTTGCCTAACAACTAAAAGATCCCAGTTCAAGATTGGAAACAAAAATCCTGGTTAAATATGCCACGTTTGCTGATCCACCTGCTCTGGTGACCCTTTCTAAACAAAGAAGTAACAGGTATTTACAACTGAGTTATCAGCTTGTTGGTCCTCTTATATGGATAAATTATGTAACAGAAATACTGCAATTAAATTAAAACTCAAATTAGTCTGGCATTTGGCATGAGTGATCTGTAGTAATCTAATATTAGCCAATAAAGTGGGCAAAACCTGATATAATAGTCACTGATGCAAAAGCATATAACCATTTTTATAAATTAACATATTTATTAATCAAATAATCAAGCGCTCCTCATATTTTGTAGCTTAAATCATGTATAGAAAGTTTTCTGTGTTTGCAACCAGGTGAAAAAAACGCGCCAACTAATATGTTTTTCTAAGGGAATACAAACTCTGAATTTCCCTGATGCTACTTTAGTGACCGTTATTTAAGGTACATTTGTAATGTTAGTAATTAAACCTGCATTTTCTGTTTTGTTCTTTTTTGATCACTTGAGGGCAGCAGAAACAAACGTTTTAGAAAGCTGACACAAAACAACCTTATACAGTTTATGAAAAAAAGACTGGGCTTTATTATTTTGGTTTCCATGAATTTGAGGGGATAACATCCGGTTTCATAGATGCTAATGTTTCTTCTGTATTCACCTGCTAACTTTAGCTACTCTTTAGTGGCAGGCAGGTAGTGAAACAGTATTTATTGGAGACTTTTCAGTAAAATTAGCGGCCTATTGAGGACACAGACACAGGTGAATAAGCAGTGAAGCTACAGGGTGGAAAACCAAACCAGGGAGTTAAAACTAGATAAAAAGAGTCAGGTGAGAATAAATCAAATCCCTTTTTGTTGACCTCGATTTTCCCACAAGAGATGATTATTTCCCCTCCTGTTGAACCTTTTTTTTAAGATTTAAAAAATTTCTCAATATAACAAAAACTGCAGCTTGCAGTAATCACTTACAGTAGACTCCCAGGCCAATATCAACTGCCAGCAGAAAGGCAGCGAGCACTGCCAGGCTCACTGCAAGCACTTTGTAACGATTTAAACAGGATCCAGGCCCCATTGTGGACAGGGACACTACACAGATAAGTGGTGGATAAATATCAGAGCCATGCACAATACAGCAACATCAAAATAACACCCAAGTGGTGGGCAAAAATGTGGATGTGTAATCACAAGTTATAAAAAGTGCTGTGAAGAGCAAAGCTAGTTTCTGGCAGAGAAGAAACATTAAACATATTTCCTTAATCATCATTCATCTTCTTGTCATTTACCTTGTTGCCTCTCCTGGTTCAAGTTGAAAGAGTGGTCATCTTCACTAATGTCCTCAGGATAAGTCAGTTTATTATAAGTACTCTCAAAAAAGCCAGCATTATTTCCGTCGTCCTCCATTTTAATCGACGAGATGAGAAGAGTGCAGCAAGATCACCCGAGAAAGAGAGAGTATTTGTTAGGACATTGCCCTGCGGGTGTTTGGGCATGTGTGTGTGTGTAACATTGCAAACAGAAAATCAAGTTTACTTGTTAACCATTTACAGGAGGTAAAGGAACAGCAGAGTTTTCAGATCATCTAAACAAGATTAGGATCAGAAATATTCTTTAAGGATGAATTTTTATTTTATCAAGTTAAGCATTAAACATCTTAAAATCATTACAGACCAGATACTGCAGACATTTTTCCCCCATACACAACTGAATATGCTGAGTGTTGTCAAAATACTTTAAAAACAGAAAACGTGTCACTTACAGTAGGGTATAACACGATTTTTCACATGTCAAGTTACAGCTAATTTATTTGAGAGATTTTATGACATTATTATTATTGTGAAACATCATCATTGAGGTCCCCTTGTGGTTTGCTTTGGCTCCATCTCGCAGATCCAGTTCAGCTGTTTGCTGCTACATTCTACATTGTACCACGTCTTCACATTATCGGTAAAGAAAAGAAAAGCAGCACAGTTCTTCTTCTCCTCACCAGAGCTGTCGGGCTGCCCACTTCTCCAGTACCTTGAGTAAAGCACAATCGCTTAGAGAGGAACTTGTTTTCAGTACATTTGTCAGTAATGAATCATAGCGCTGCACGAGTCGCTTACATTGAATCCACCTCGGTCACATTGTTAACCCAGACCCACGTTCCCTCTGCCACCACATCAGTGAGGCCGACCCAGTATCCATTCTGCCACCATACGCCAGAGCTGCTCACTTTTTGAAAGTTGTCGGTTATGAGGAGCTATGAGAAAGCAGACATTCAATTTGATTTTTAAATGATGACAAATAAGTATGGTGTGATCAAACAGAATTTAAAAGCCCTTTCGTTTAGGCATAGCTGAGCAATGCTATCATGAATATAAAACATTTGCTCCCCGTGGTTAGCCTTTATCAAGATGTCACATATTTGCTCTAAGAAGTTAGACGAGTACTATTTTTCTTACTTTGCCAGTTTAAAGTAAGTTCAGTCTAATTAAATCCCACCCACACAGACCCACACACGAGCAGAGATGGTAAAGTTTTTGAGTGTAAAGCTCTTAATAACGTACAAGTTAATGAGTAATTGCCAAAATTAAACGTATATTATTGTGACTTTACTTTTTTATGCACCAAGATTATGAAATTGAAATGAATCTTAATCATTAACAGAAGATAACTTTCTCACACATGGTGGGCTCGAATTTCTTGGCATTTTAAAACCAGACACAGAGGCCTACAAAATAAACTATTTAAGCAGAAAAGACTTCGTTTCTGACCAACCTGCTCCTCCAAGTTATTGATGACAAGCAAGTCACCGCCCTGATTAATGCAGTATTGTCTGCTCTCCGTCCAGTTCTTTCTGGAGTTTATTTCATGGTGAGAAAAATAATAACAGGATGTTTTAAGAAGGAGCCATCCTGTTGGGCATCTGCCGCAGGTTTCCTCTGTTCCAAGAGAGATCGAACAACCATTTACTATCTCACAATAAGCCGTGCAGATTCACAGCATGCTGCATGTTCACAAAGACGGGTTGGAGGCTGAACTTACCTAAGAGAGTTTTATTTGTCTGGAGATTTGATTTCGCTGCATTTAGTGTCTCAATTTGTCGCTGAAGCAAATCATTTTCGACCTTCAACTGCTTCACCTGGAGCTTTAGCTGCACGTGGTTGGTGCGCTCTTTCACCAGTTTTGCCTGGGCCTCCAGCCTCTCTTTGATGATACCACTGTGGTTGCGGAGATGGTTCATTTCAATCAACAAGGGTGAAACAGATGAATCTGAAACCTGAAAGTCTTTGGCTTTGACACCTGAAAGATAAGAAAGGAAAAGAGGGTCAATATAAAAGATTGCTCTAATCACAGTGATGTCAGCCATTGGTTTGTGATCTTCAGTTTTCCAGATGTCATGTTGGCTCCACATATTTGTTTCAAAGTAGATTTGTTAGCGTATTGCATCTATAGACAGTATGAGTGCTTGTCACAGACACAGATACCAGCTAATATATACAAAGAACTATACAAAGAACTACATTCACCGAAAGGTCCAGTGACTGGAATTGAGCTCAGGTTGTTGACTATGGCTGAGTGAAAAACCTTGCCAGCAGATTGCTTTGATTACCTCTAATTTGTATGAAAGACACTATTGTACGCACAAACAGTAACCATTTACTCTTCTAGGTGCAGTGTGCCAAAACGCAGAAACAGACGACATTTGCTTTCAAAGTAAAAGCTGTGCGGCAACTAACACATTTCTCCAGGCAGAAGTTTTGATTTGAAGGCAAACGATTTTCATTTAGTTGCACTTTTCACAGTTTAATACTGCTCGGTAAGTAATTAGTGAGGGTTAGTAGACAAGTTAGCATCTTCCATGCATACTACTAGCAAAACTTGCAACCATCTAGCGACCAAAGCAACTGCAAAGCAACACATACCTGTTTCATGATAGTGAAAATGGCATATACCAACATAAACCGCAAATGCTGTGCTTGCAATGTGTCCAAAATGAAACATTACAAATACAGTATTATTCTTGAGTGTGGCTCTGTGTCATTTGGCACACTGAAAACATTAAGAAACTCTGGTCTAGAAATAAACTCTAATCAATCAGATATTCGTATATGTAAAAGTAAATTATATGAATTTCTGCAGTTTCATACCATCGTTCGTACTTGGTTCTACTACTTTGTGCGATTAATATCATACAGAACAAGGATTATACTTCAGATTAAGGAGTTTCTTATTGACTCTCATACTTACAATAGATCCCAGTGACAACAGCAGCTATCAGCAGAACAGCATTCAGCAGGCTCAGACTCAGTATAACCAGTCGGTGGTGTGGAAACGCAGGTCTGCTTCCATCTGCAAACAGACCTTGAAAATGTTCCTCTCAGTTAAAAATCCTAATAAAATATTTTGTCTTCAGTAAATCAAATAAATTTATAATGGGGACTTTCCTAATAGGTGACAGAGCAATCTGCTATGTGGTGTAGTTTTAAACAATGTAACACACTTATTACAAATGTTTTACATGTATCTGAAACCAAAATGAGTAAACGAGTGAAAGCTCCACGAGGTCAGATTTCACAAGGAGGGAGTAAAGTGGTGGTATAAAAAAAAGCAGAACAGAAACTGCTTGGAATTTGATTGTAAAGTGAGCTGTACCTTGTCGAAATCTTTGACGGTGAGAGACTGAATGGCCATCTGTGCTGAAATCTTGAGAAATCTTTTCAAATGTCATCTTCTCCTCAGGCACCGACGGTAATTGTGAGTTCTTGACTGGTGCAGGTAGCGCTTATTGATCTGTTTGTCTCTCCTGGTTGTACCAGCGATAAGGTGTGTGTGTCTATGTGTGTGTGCGTTTGAACCCTGGTCTGCATGTTGAGGTAATGCCTTTTACAAGAATGAGATAATATCGCTCTAACGTTTGAAAAACATTAGCATACTGTGTAATAATACTGTGACTGATGCTGCACATGTAAACTTGTTTTAAGACTGCTGGGTAATTGATTGATTGATTGAATCTTTATTTTGAACATGTTGAAAAAGTATAAAAAAAAATAGAATTAAAAGAGACAAATGAACAAAGCAAACAAAAGGAAAACGAGCAACCACAACTCCAAATAACATCCATGTTCAAAAAGGAGCAGGAAGAAGCATAAGCTGCTGGGTAATTACATTTTTGTTCAAAATCTTCCTAGATTATTAAATATACAATTAATTAAAATTTTGCTAATATTCTTTTGTTCTTTTGAGGAAGCACATTTATAATATTATATGTCACATTTATGGACAGCAGCTAGTTAGCCTAGCTTATCACAAAAACAGGAAACACCCAGCCTAGCTTTCTGTGACTAAACAAAATCCACTTAATGCTCATTCAGAAATGATTCATTAACTCAGTCCGTTTCTTACAATCCCAATAATGCTGTGAGGAACATCTGGGAGGAACATCTGGTTATCAATCAATCCAAAATACTATATGATTCCTACATACTTTCTACAGCTAGAAATCACGACTAAAATATAATGAATGGCTTTGCTGTAATTTCCTTGGGCTTTTTATCATGCTCTGTAAATCCTCTCATTTCCCTCTAGACAGAGGCTGCTAAGCATTCAGATTATAAAATTGAGAAACAAAGCAATTTGTTTCAAAGTGCAGATTTTATAAAGCACTCATAAATCATTTTAACAATAGACAAACTTTTTAAAACACTGCAGATTTAATTGTAAGCAGATATTTGCCCAGGGCCATTAAGATCAAACCACAGCCAATTAAATCTTAAAACAAAGACGTAACTTTCGGCTGTGGAGCTTCAGAAGTGCCTCAAAGCACAGAAAGTAGAAATAGTCCACTCAACACTGCTAACACGTTGATTACACTTTACACACATAATCATGTTAACTGCATTAAAATTAAAGTTGGGCAGATAATAAGAGTATGTTTCTTGTGAACCAAACTCTAATTTTATTTAACTTTCCATTTTCCTGGTGGCTCAGGATGCTTTAACAATAAATAAGGGAAATAGACACTGTAGTGTTGTGTGATGGTAATAAAGTCTACTTACCAGTGCAACTAATTAACTCAATCATTAATCCAGTCCAGAGGAAGTCCATGTAATCCCAATAACATTATGACATTTTGCTACACTTTTGTATTTTTTGTGAGTTACAAAATGTGAAGAACAGCTTATTATCAGTCATTCCAAGATGTCTTCTACAGCTAGTAATACAAAGTAAAATTTGATGTGTTTGTTAGTATTTTCATCTTAACCTGTATAAACTAACCTCTCCATCTGTACCAGGGATGGTAAATAATCAGGTCATTAAAACCAAGAATTCCTTTGATACCGCTAATTATACGATTCTTAAAACATTAATAAATCATTTTTAACAAGTGGACTGTTCCAGATACACAGCAGTGTAGATGG